ACGTGCGCGTTCTTACAGGGAAGACGGTCCGGGGACCGGGCTCCACGTGCGCGTACTTACAGGGAAGACGGTCCGGGGACCGGGCTCCACGTGCGCGTACTTACAGGGAAGCGCCCACAAATGGTTCTCCTCAGCAGCACAGCCACAACAAACCACAACATTCCCACAATTCCATGACATACTTTAGTTAAATTATATATAAAAGAAGAAAGAGTAATGAGTGAGAGAAGCAGATATAAGTGCAGCAAGCAGTGTGTGTTTGATGACGGGGAGCGGACCACAGGCCTGGCTTTTTATTGGTACTCTTGAACACACAGGTAACATTTCTTAGATCAGGAGAGACTGTCCTGACTGCAGTACCTGCCCCCCCCCAGCAGGCGGACGCACAGCAGGAATGTAAAGACTTCATATGCAAAACAACACCCATGTTGAAACGGCTCCCTTTCTATGAATGTGGCTGAACTCGGACTGTAGTTCACTGACACAGGAAACGACCCCCCCCCATCCTATAAAAGCTTTTGGAACACCTCCCACCTTTCTTAATGAGGACTCTTCACTTAGAAAATGCTCTTCCGCCCTAAGTGGAGTTCTTTGCTGATTTCACGAGCAGAAAAGCAGCCATTCTCAGCAGCTGACAGTAGGGAGGGACAGACAGACAGCGTACCCTCACAGCTGAGACTCAGTCAAGTCAGAATCAAAGCGAAACTAAATGTTTCTCTTCAACACGAACCAAACCCATAACGACTTTTATTCTTGAATAATATGAATAATGAACTCCGTTCGACGTGCACGCACCCCCATTAAAACCCTGTGGCATCTTTAACCTGGGGGGGTGGGATGGGGTCGGGGGTCATGCCTGCAGACAGTCGCCCATATCGCCTTCAGGACAACTGACACATCAGCTGTCAATCTCTCACCCCGAATGAGTAGCAGGGGTGTGAGACCGTGCCGGACCGGACCGGACCGGACCGAACTGGGGCTGTCATGAGGACAAGTAGCAGCAGATCTGTGCAAACACTGCATTACAGCCATGTGCTTGAACCAGTTAGCTATAAGCACAAATAAATGATCCCAATTTGTCTTGGATGTTCAAGTAAGGGCAGCTTTCATAATCAGGATACAGTCAATACCCCCCTTTCCCAGAGCATGCATTTCAATACAGACACTGAGCTCTGAAAACAGAATCTCTGCTGTTGACCAGGGAACACAACTGTTGAATAAATATTTTTTAGGTTTGTTAAATTGCAAAAATAAGATGGGTTTCTTTCCTTTCCCTTATTTTTTTTTACAAAACCGTAGGCATTTATGGCACAGGCAAACCAAACAGCCTAACATAAGTTTAAAAATAGCATCTTAAACATGTGTTGGAACGGCGAGCAGGATGGAGCGGAGGAGGCCTTATTTCCAGTCAAACTGCCGCGCGTCACGCCACGATGACGGCTCAGTCTGAGACCCGGGCACGCGGGTCAGCTCAGTCCCGCTCAGTCTGTGGAGAAAGACCTGCCCATTCCAGAACTGCTCCTCAAGCAAGCAGAGCAGGAATGGGGGGGGGGTGGAGGGTGATGGAGCAGCCTGTCGTTCCAGGTGACTGCTGGCGGGTGATGGGCCAAGCCAGCATGCCCACGTCCTCCATCCCTGCACCGGCCGGCCCTCAGAGGATCTGCTCTGAACTGGATGCGGAGATATCCAGCAGCCTCCAGGCCGCGTACGGGTTCAGCTCCTCCTGATCGCGGCACAGCGCCCACACGTACATCATACGCAGGACCTTCTCCTGTGGGGAAGCGAGGCTACAGTCAGTCTGCAACTCCACCAGCTGCACGCCCCCTAGTGGCCGGAACTGCAGCCTCCAACAGACAGGGTGCAGCGTCTCTTATTAAATCACCAAACAGCCCCATAAAACCTGCATTGACTGGCAAACTGTAAAAATGCAATCTACATGAGTAGCTGCCAAGCCTGCAAATATAACCTAACGTCAGGGAAGATGGGATGTCGCTATGGAAACGAGAAATAACAGAGTGGAAAACAGGGCCTCTGTAACTAACAGCTCTGACTGTGTAGACTGCTGCAGTCTGACCGTGCTGCGGGCCCCACCCAGAGCAAAGGGAGCCTCAGTCCTCCTCCACCCAGCCCCCCCGTTCTCAGAGGTACCGTCAAAGCCTGCCCATGGTAGATTTAAGACGGGGTGGGAAAATAGGTTTTTTTTTTACATGTGACCTGATAGCTGTCAGATCAGGAGAGTCTCTTGGCTGACCGGGTTTGATCTGCAAGTCCACGAAGCAGGTCAGCAGAGCCATATATCAGACCTGCAGGAGATCCCCCCCCCCCCCCAAGCTGCAAACAGCCCAGCCCCCTTAATGACAAGCTAAGAACAATATGGAAGCCCTGAACCCAAAAGGGCAACGGGAAAAGCCCCCCACGGCTACATAAATCACTAGACCAGTTTCACATCCTTATTTTGATGAGCTCATATGATCTGGTCACCAGGAGCTTAGGGAGAAGTGGCACTTAATCAAAGCAGCACTTGCCCTGCGCTTGACCCCACCCCCTGGCCCCGCCCCCTTGACCCCGCCCCCTGGCCCCACCCCCCACAGCTGACTCACCGGGTCCCCCTCCACCACGTCTCCCTTGGTGTTGCGGATCACCATGACCAGCTGGGCCTGGAAGGTGATGATCAGCACGGGACCCTGTTCCATCATCTTCCCCAGGGCAAGCTGGGGAGAGAGAAGGGGGGCAGGGGGCAGGCTGTCACAGACCCTTTGCGGCATGGAACCAGCTATGTAAGGGAGACCCTGTCTGGAACATTCTAAAAATCGACAGCCTCTTGTTTTTAAAAGCACAGTCGTCCTCACAGAAAAGGTGACAAGTTCATAGTTTATTTCAAGCTGAAAATCCAGACACTTAACTTGTATGATGGATGTTTTTATGAAAGGAAGGAGAAGCCAAATGGTAAAAAATAGCAGTTTAAGATAAAGGACTCAGAACGTTCCAGTGTAACCAGGAACAATGTGACAGGAAGGGACTGTCACAAATCGAGGAACGAGAACGAAGTCGCCCCGTCTCTACAAGGCAGAAGGAGCACACTCACATCGACGTTGTCAATGTCCAGGATCTTAGAGTGGAACTGCAGACCCATCGTCCTGGCCTGCTGGATGGGATGCGCTAGTTGGCTGTACGTCTGTGGGTTCGAGAGACAGATCTGCTTAAACGGAAGCACAGCCTCCTCACAAGGGAAACATGCAGCTGACATCTTACTACAGCAGATTCACTTCGCAAATACATCAAAGAACCGATCCCAAGGTCTGTCATCACCCAAGTAGGCACTTTCAGGCAAGCAGAGGCAAGCATAAGAGTGTGGGGACAACAGCGTAGACAACCTAAGGAGAGTACTTACAGCTTCATAGCACCAGTCCTTCAGGACGTCCAGATCTCCACGAACCATGGCCTGCAACAATAAGAGGTTCAACCGAAAGTCATTTCCAACAACGGTCTTGTGGTCAAGCTGCTCACAGGGTGCTTTTCCACTGCACCTGGTACTGTACTTTGGTACGGTTCCCCCTGTACTTCTCCTTTTCCATTGACTTCCAGTGGAGTAACAGTACCAAAAGTACCAAGCCAGCTGGGGCACTACTTTGGTAATTAGTGGTGGGACTTGAAATGCGTTCATTGTCAACTGGTTATGAATACCGCCCTGCCTCTGATGCACAATGCAACTGCGGTCTTGAAAAGTTTGTAAACGGAGCAAAAATAAAAGTAATAATGAATGTGTGGACAAAGTAAGATTCAAGCTTTAAATGCGAGATACGAGATCAGGCAGGATGACCCCCTGCGCTATAGTGTCCATCCAGAATGAAAAGTAAGAAAAAGCCTGATCTTAAGTCTAGCTGACTAGCGATGTAAGAACTGCAAGTGCATAACATGTGATGTTGGTCTTAATATCACACGTTGGCCACTATAATGTACCACAACCATTTTTCGAATACAGTACCAAACTCCTGCCTCGCGCTGTGATATTCCGCACCGGTGCCCGTTTTGACGACAGTGGAAAACCAACACATCAAAGGACCAAAAGTATGGTACCTGGTGCGGTGGAAAAGCCCCCAAAGACAGCACAGAGGAGCAGTGCTCACCTCTAGGATGTTGGGAATGATGTCCTGTTCACACTGCTTCAGGAAAGAGTCTTTGTCAAAGTTGGGGTCTACCTTCAGGATCTCAGTCAGCACTTCAGACATCTCCGTCTTGGAGAACAGCCCACCTGCCCGACAAAGTACAGCGACTTTTAGCACTCGAGGGAGACGGAGGCGAGGCAAGTGGCTGATGGGGGGGGGAGGGGATGGCTAAAGTAAGCGAGGGAGAGTGAGGTGTGTTTACCAATGAGATCGGTGACTTTATCCGTGACGGCACGCGAGGCGCGGATAAAGCTGTTGTCACTCTCATCATATTTCATCTTCATTTCAAAGAACCCTGGCAGGGAGACACGTGGGGGAGGGAGGCGGTGAATATGACCCCCCCCCCCTCAAAGGCTCCCCACCACGTTGGGAGCCCGAAGCACATGGAAAACCTGACAGCCCACTAGAAAACTAGAGATTTATGGGTCACAGGTTTGAAGGCATTACGCCCCCCTCCCTCGCCAAACGCAGACTCGGGATATCACAATGGACGTAAGCGGGGGCCCGGAACACGCCACACCCTGCGCTCGTCATGGAGACCTCGTCAGCTTCAGTCTTAACGAGGTTTTAACATGGCGAGGGGCTACACACCAACACAGTATCAACAGCTTCAGAGCAATGCTGTCTGCTGCCCGTGCAATTTCTACCTCAGACAGTGTTCATGAACGTTAGGGTGTCAGGTGACATATACATAGGGACAGGCAGATACTTGTGGATTCGTATCGTCAGGTCGCGTTTGCTTTACCGAGGTCTGTCTGCAAATGCAGAAAAGATGGCCGATCAACTAAAAAAAATAGGTATTAAATCCATATATGCAAGTCCACAAAGCAAGTGGGTGCATCCAGGCCTTCACAGCTTCACAGTTTGCTGCCCGTCAGTCCAGAAGCCCTGCTGTCCATCAACACCCATTGGTAAGAACATTTAAAGCCCTTTCATATTTTTATTTGGAATAGGCGCCACCTGCTGGCTGAAAAGTGGCATCACGTTACTAAAATATGAAATTTAGAACTAACATCCATACACAGGGATGCACATAACTGGCATGCAAGTACACATTTGCAGAATACAGAGATACATGTGGCATATTATTTTACGTTCCTTCGCATGGTTATCAAGTCACTGTGCATTCTACCCGGCATACTGTGATTGAAGAACACATCAGCCGTATATAAAAGGTTCAAATGCATAGTAATTTCCTGTCATAACAGCAGGAAATAAATGCGCATCTGTACTATGACAAGAAATTGTCATGTGCATCACTTAATGCAGCAAATGCGTACCTGAGGACCAGAATACCATTGTGGATCATTACGATTAAATACAGGGAATATTAGCTTAATACCAGCCACATTACAGTACCACTGCAATTAGGGTATGTTTAACACCTTCACATGAGCTCTCCCACAAGGCATTAAGGCAGGAAGAGAGTCAGGAGTCACACGTCAGGAAGGAGGCGTGAGACATAATGTTCTTACTGTTGAAAACCACATTGTTCTCTTTGAAGTCCTTCCACTGCTGGTACCACTTTGAGTCTTTGTGTAGAACCACACCCATGGCTTCCCTGCGACGGAGAGAGTCAGCAATTCAGCCCTCGGCCGCTCGGGGAGGGGGGGGGGGGGGGGGGGGGGGGGGTGGGGGGAAATCACAGGATGCTCTAGGCGCACAATTAAATCTAAGACCGCGGGCAGAGTCTCCCACCATTACTGTCATCCATAACCTCACCCCCACGTTCCAGTGTTTAATTCAAAAGCGCAGAAGATCAGGGTGCAGAAGACCAACCAGCACGGAGGAAACATACTCATTAGCTTCAAAGACCTTGGACACCGCCCCCCCCGCTTTGGAGGAGAAGTCCGTCCTCTTCCTTAACTGGGGGGGGGGGCGGTAGGGGCCGCTCTGTCCCATTTCGATCTCCTTCTTGACCGTCTCCATGCCCTGCACACAAACACACCGAAGGAAATGAAGCATCAACAGATAAATAAGATCAGAGGGCGCCGTGCATCTCTGCGTGTTAGGACGTTGTGCTCGAAGCGAGTGGTCACATGGGAAGACCGCGCGGCCACATGGGCAAACCGCGCGGCCACCAGACTCACTACACCTCTGGGCCCCTGAGCAAGGCCCTCGACCTCAAGTGCTCAAGGAACTAGCCAGCCCTGCCATCTCACCTGTATGCTGCTTTGGATGAAGGCATCTTCTAAATAACTGTTCATGTGAATGTAATACCACTCCTGACCACTAGAGGTCCTCCCATCTCACTTTCTTCAAAATTTTGATGTTTGATGTAATTTGTACCGTAGCACATTTACATAACAGATTTTATATCACCTAAACTCAAATTCAAATATAACTAACTAATGAAACCTTAGACTGGTTATTCAAAGCCTATGAACAAGAAAATAAGCAGGTCTGATTAATCAAGGAGAAAATTAAACCATTTAGCAATCTGATCAAATTAGGACATTTCAGATTACACTAACATCCACTTTTCTCACTGAATCAAAACTTAACAGTAATAACTACTTTAGCTCTTAATTTTGATGGTTTGACTGGGATTTTAAGTTGTTAGTCATTAAGAGAATGCAGAGTCACCGCACCATCTCACATCCAGAAGTCTTGCTCACATTCTTCTGCTAAATCCCCTTAAATTACAAAAGTGCATCAACTTAAACCGCACATCAGCAAGTGCGAGCCAAAAATGCCCACAGAACCGTAATGTAAAAAAAAAGAACAAAAGCAGCCATTACCAATGCCCAGTACAATAATGACGACTGCAGACATCTCCACCACATCGGCGCACGGCCCAAAAATGACAAGCAGCCGCTGGAACGAACTCCGGCCTTCTGAGGTTCTCGCAGCTCGTGAGTAATTCACAGGAGCGCCAAGGGACCCGCTTTCGCGGCCTCAGAACCACGGCTAATCTGACACGGGAATAAGGATCCCATGAAGCTTCGCCCGACTGCGGAGCGCACCTGAGAGATAACCTTGAAGGCCCCGGTCTTGCCCAGCTTCTCCCCACTCTTGGACACGGTCTCCGCCGAGCGCTTGGCCGTCTTGGCGGCCTCCTCCATGCCCTCCATGACCTTCTTACCCAGGTCTGTACGGCTCACCTCCTCCAGGCCCTGCGGGGAAACGTCACACACTTTCACGTCCAGCGCCAATTTAAATGGATGAAACAAGCACAAGATGGCGCTGTGGGGCCTGTGCCCGCCGGGCGGGCCGCACCTCTTTCATAGTCTCTGACAGGGATCCCAGCTTCTGCTTCAGTACCTCAGATGTCTTCACAGTTTCAGATTCAATCGTTTTCTGAGGAGGATAGAGGAACGAGAGTTTGGTCAAGTTGCTTTTAGAGAACTCTTCAGAATCTCTCTGAACCAATCAGATTGTAGAAGAAGTGGGTTCAAGCAACTACAGGAAGTGGAACCAAGACATCCGACTGGTTGGTCCCACCTCCACTAGTTGCCTGGACCCACCTCCTCTACAATCTGATTGGTTATCTCTCTGAAACAATCGATTTTCATTGTGCCCTCAGAACATTTTTGTGTAAGACAAAAACTCCCGTGAGCTGTCACTTCATTGGCATACAGCTGTTAGCAATTCCAGCATGACATTAGTATAACAGGTAACCTCAGTACATTTCAAGCAGCTCTCCTACATGATTCTGATGCAAAAATACAACATATGCGAACTTTGGACTGAGTCCAGCCTGTTTACGTGGGTGGCCCAGTCACTAGGAACACCAACCCAATGCCTGCTAACAGAGGTATGTCCCAGTAACCCTTTTTTAGACAGTACTTTTCCCTTGCTACCTTTCATTTTGGAGGGGGGGGGGGTCTTTTGGATAATCTCTCTAAACCTTTCCCCACACACACCGGTACACCACAGACGCCCCTGTCAGGTGACGAAACTGCCTACACCACAGACGCCCCTGTCAGGTGACGAAGCTGCCTACACCACAGACGCCCCTGTCAGGTGGCGAAGCTGCCTACACCACAGACGCCCCTGTCAGGTGGCGAAGCTGCCTACACCACAGACGCCCCTGTCAGGTGATGAAGCTGCCTACACCACAGACGCCCCTGTCAGGTGACGAAGCTGCCTACACCACAGACACCCCTGTCAGGTGACGAAGCTGCCTACACCACAGACGCCCCTGTCAGGTGACGAAGCTGCCTACACCACAGACGCCCCTGTCAGGTGATGAAGCTGCCTACATCACAGCTCAGTGATGCACACAAAGCCCGCTACCATGAGGTCTGCGGTGGGATGGAGCCCCCACCAGTCTGGGAACACAATAGTTATCTCATGGCTTCAATAAAAGCCCCCCTGATGGCATAAAGCCAACACCCTACCGCAGACCTTTCCATGACCCAACACGCATTCCGTTTTCTTGTGTCCGCCTCCTCTGGTGGCCTTTTCGCTGACCGTACCTTTTGTCAAACCTCTCTCCAAATAAGGGTCCTCTCCTTCCTCCCATCTGTCATATGCTTCCGTTCACACCGGAGAAAATCTTTCACAGGCACCACAAAACTTCACATTCAGCTAAACCTTTACGGCAGGGTGATTTCTGGTCTACATGCCAGATTGCTGCTGGAGCAGTTTCAACTTGACCAGGAAGTTGCATGTCTAAATTTCTAGGATGCTACCATGAGTGCAATGCTTGACCTAAATAAATTTTGGAGCTATAAGGCTGAATGTGTGGGAGAAATACAAATATCCAGGCCACGCAGATATAACAGTCACATTCTGACCCTACGCATCCAGCGACAAACTTTTTGTGTTTACAAAGCTGAAAAGCCAATTGAGAAAATACAGTTAAATACTTTGCTTTAGTTCTTTAATGATAAATCTGGCAGTTATCCTTAAACCTGCAATCTTCTGGCCACAAAGAACTTCCACATGGATGCGCCACAGCCAGCATAAGACCAGAAGATCCACACGTACGTATTTCCTCCTGGCCTGCTTGAGTGCGTCCGACTCCTCCAACCTCTTGGCTTCTTCCCGAAACTTCCGAATGTTTTCCTTCATTTCCTTGTTCTTGCCGAGCTCCTGCTTTATGTTGTCCAGGATTTCCCCCAGGAAGCCCTTGCGGCCGCCACCCCCACCGGATGCATATCGCACCTTAGGTAGGACAGGAACATTGGGAAAGTTCTGGTCAAGGAGTTTTCAGAGAACGGTACTCTTATAATTGCTAACAGGAATCCGATTACCTGGGGAAGGGCTTTGTGTGATCCGCATATCCTGTATGTGTGAGCTGTTCCAAATGTGGACACATACAGACGTGTGGTCAGGAACAGGCAGCTCCTCCGGATGCCGCGCTAGAGAAACACGGAGAACCAGGAGAGTCAACAGAACCGAACCAGAACCACAAGAGAATCAGAAGAGTCAGTGTTTGCAATCTTATGATTCCACACAGTACCTACGGTTCCTAAGAGGCAATAGACAACTAGAATAAATTTACAAAAAAGGCCAATATATACTGTGCCAAGAACTTGACTTATAGCTGATATGCCTAATAAAGAATCAAGCCGATTCTGAAAATAAGATTTACCCAACTACTGTTTTACACAGCTAATGTTCAAAGCAAATCTTGAACTGATATATATGACCATGAACAACAGCAGAACTCTGGATTTTACAGGTGGTTATGGGTGAATTGATGCAACTGACCAACACAGAGAATAAAGCATGCCTTTGAAAAGAAATAAAACTGCGAACAAAATCAGCTTAATATTTAGTTGTAAAATGATAAACAGAAAGTGCTTCTTAAGGCACAAACTTTGACTCTAAAAAAGATTCAAAGAACTTTATTAATCCCAATGGGAAATTGCTTTGTCTTGGTTATACAGTTGCTCTGATTAATTTACTGGGAAGAAAGGAAAAAAAAAAGAAAATAGTTTAGGAAAAAGTATTAGAATGGAAAAATAGATATAAAAATTAAGAAAAATACCAATAAATAGAAGTAAAATATAATAAAATTAAATTAAATATAGCACACATGTTAAGTAATGCACTAGAAATGCCGTGTAGATAAGGAGAAATATTGCACAAATGTAATAGTCAGATATTGCACTTGGAACATTAGTTGAGAACAGTAGTGTTGTAAAATATTATGCCAAATATATTAAGTATTAATCCATTAATCACATTAATACACATTAATCCAGAATAAATACAAGTCCCACTAATATTTAGATATAAAAAGGGAAAACAACGCTGACATTCAGGTGAGATTAATAAATACAAACGACAGAATAATACCTTACTTAATATATTTGGCATTTATCTCCGAAACACAAATGACAAACTGAACGAGATATACAGACGAAAAATATATACATATCTAATTACGCGTTCACCTAGATTAGGGCATTAAAATACGACTCGCGGACACAACACGCAGGGCAAAACCAAAATGAGTAAAGTTTATATAATAAGAAAATCAAAATGCTACAACGGTACGGTAGGAACTACTCAATCGCCTTCCATTCCTCTTTTAATCGTATTGTAAGATATTTGAGAAAGAATCGGAAGTAAGCATTAAATTCAAACGGAAATGTTACTTTAAAAAGCACGATTATGCCAGAACAGTTAAAATCATGATCCGATTTTGCGACCTCTGGTACACAGGCCCAGTATAACACACCAGCGTGCTCCCAACATCATCTCAGCCAACCTCTAAACGCAGGCAAACGCATCTGGCCGCAAGAACCGCCTGGACACCTGCAAATGTCCATTGCAGAAACAAACCGCAACACCTCCAGCGACAGCAGCAGCAGCACTGCAAGCGGAAACACCGACGGAATAAGCCGTCAATGAGCGCTGTCCACCGGCATCTCACCTGGTAACACTGACACAAGGAGGCCGCCATCTTCGCTATCACACCCGTGACCTTTTTCTGTACCCGAGCCTCTGACGGCGCAAAAAAGGCGGAGCAACGTCACAGGCCACGCCCCTTTACGACGAAACGCCCTCTTCTGTGTCTGCGTGTGCGCACGTGACATGTGGGGGAGCGGGCGGCGCTTCGCTGCGGAAGCCCTTTATAGGCAGATTATATTCAGCATGAGGGCAGAGTGACTCTTTGACAACTTCATAACGTGTTTGTAGAACGGAAATTAAAACAATATCACATTGGGAACCTCCTGTTTAATTAAAACAGCACTGTGCACCGGGACCCAAGGAAACAATATTTCGTTCCTTTAGGTTGCACAGTGTGCTGATTTGTAGGAATGCAAATAAACCTTTAAATCTTGAAAATGATTTACGTTAATGGTATGTAATATAGCAGCTTTTATATACAGCATAATTGAGAAAATTTGCACACACGATATAACCATCAAATCTGTTTCCTTAATGGGGCAATGTAGACGGACGTGTGTCAGAGTAAAGTGGATTCCCTAATGATACCCTTTAAAATCAATGACCTTTGCCTCATAAAATCAATGTGGCACTTAACGTTTTGAAACGCCTAGCGGTCATTTAAAGTTTGTATGAAAGAGTCAGAAGACTGAATGAAAGCGTAACATTTATTTCAGCCCAGTTAGAAGTTTCTGTGCTGTTGTGTGATCCAGCTTGCATGATCCAGAAGGCAGTGGGAGACTCAGGCTGTTTGGAGAGCATGGGTGAAAGAATAAGAAGGACAGCTACTGCTTGACATGTCCCCCCAACATGTGTAGAGTGGTATGCTATGTTTGGTGCAATAGTTCCTGATTAAGATTGTTCAGCTCATGTTTTGTGGACTACATAGGAACACCTAGAGAGTACGTTATTCATCTACTCACATGCACAGGAAACTGCATCTCATAGCGCGGCACCGTATCTCATTTCCTTCCCTGGAAGGGCACCCATAAGAAAGATTTTTCTCTCCATTATAAGGGCACTTCATACCGGCACCCCTTGCCATTGGAAGGGTACCCATAGGAGCCGCTTAGACCATTGTAAGGGCACCTTATAGGGCACTGCGTCACATTCTCT